GCCCCTGTTATAGCCTGTTGCTATCTGCTGGCCAGCGACAGACAGACACGCACCTGGGGACTGAGAACTAGGGTAAGCCCAGAAATATTCCCCACTCAAAAAAATGCCTGCTGTCATTACAGAGAAAAAAACGCTATTAAAAGAAGGAGAGACTGTTAAGCGGTTGGCGCTGGTCCAAAACGAACATGATTGAGGGCCCCAGAAGATCCTTTGGAAAGTCACCTTTGAACCTCGGGGGCAAAGAGAAGATGGACAGGAGAGGTGAAAAATGAGAATTCCAGATGTTCCCTTGCAGTCCTGTTTCGGGGACAGCTGTAGGGTCTAGAGTAGGGGCACTGCTGCGTTTAAGAGGGTGCACCGGGCATTTTTAATGTTCACCTTCCTCCAGCTCTTGGCCTGAAGGCCTCACGTAGTTCTGAGGAAACATCCCACAGGGTCTCAACCAGTATGTAGCTCCAGCGCTGCAATGCAACCCTTCGCAGCCCCTCCGAATAGGAGCCCTCAACCCTGGGCTTATCTAGAAAGGCACAATTTTTTTAGTCAGAAAGAATTACCCTTTTTTTCCAGATGAATACGAAGGAAAATTCTGAGCCTAAGCGAGCGCTAACCACAGTGTCCAACACATGGCAGGGGCATGTCAGCGAGCTGCTCCAAGGTGGTACTTTCCAGAAAGCATATCCTGGCCATAGGTCCACCGCAGCCTAAATTTTCATTAAAAAAAAAAATACAACAAAAACCCCAGAAAGGTGCAACGTGGCGAGACTTTAACTCCTTGCACGGCTCAGCACCAGAAGGCCATCTTTGCCAAGGAGGAGCGGTCGTGCCCACCTGCCCATGCCACGGGGTGAGTCAGGGCCATGCTGCCCTGCACCACCTCGGAGCTGGAGGTGCTCCCTGATGGAGAGTGCTCCCCTCGCCCACCTCATGAGCATCCCGTGGGACTCCTGCAAGGAGAACCCTTTGGGATCAATGCGTGCATTTGAGCTTGAGACCTGCCGCCCTCCCCGCCCGCTCGCAGGCTCCTGCTGGTGGTTCCTGCTGCTGGCTCATCGTCCGCCGCCTGTCAGCGAGCAGCCCTCGACATCTTCCTGTGACACCTCTCCGATGTCACTTACTCCATTGCGCGTCTCGGTTTCGGTTTTTAGGAAGCTGAAGCAGCTCGGGAACCAGGAAACAGCAACGAGATCCAAAGATCTCAGCGCCGCAGGCATTTCGTGCCGATGCGGCGGCGTTCTCCCATTTCCCCGTCGCGGTGGGGAACCCTGCAACTTTCCTCTCCGCTCCTCCGGGCTGCAGCAGAAGCCCTTCCTCACAGAGAGCCAGCCAAAGGTAGGAGGGGTTTTCCCCTCTCGCAGGCCAAAACTTTAGGAGCGAAAAACCCCACTTTGCTTTTAAGCACCGTGCCAACCTGAGTAAATTCAGAGCCGTTCTACACAAAACCGAAGGAAGCAGGGAAGCAGCAGAGGCCAGCAGGCAGAGCTGGCGGTCCCGAGGCACCGGCACCTTCTTTTCCCGCTTCCTTTTCTGCTGCTGTTCTCTCTGCCAGCCGCTTCTGGAGCCCCGCGCTGGCAGCGGGGGGCGGGGCAGCGGGAGGCCCT